GTACAGTCCTTTTGGGAACTCAATACCGAATATCCAAAAAGTAGCTCAAAGTAACTCAAAATAAACTCATGTAACTCAAAAATAACTCAAAATAAACTCAAGTAGCTCAAAGTAACTCAAAATAAACTCATGTAACTCAAAGTAAACTCATGTAACTCAAAAGTAAACTCATGTAACTCAAAGTAAACTCAAAGTAACTCAAAAGTAGTTCAAAGTAACTCAAAGTAAACTCATGTAACTCAAAGAGCTTCAGAAAAAGAGCAACTAGTTTTATGAAATAAAATTTCTTTATCAGCTGATATATTTCACTCATTGTCTTACTCACAAATCACCATTTTATATAAAATGCATGCCTGTTTGTAATCCTATATGTATGCATGTACACTTATATATGCTAAAATGAGGAGAATGTATTTTAAACTTTATAATATGTACCCTGCCCCTTCCATGCTATATAAGCTAACAGAAAAATAGTAAAACTATTTAATATAACTTAAATTTAGATTAATTTTATTTATGCAAATAACAAATTTTTAACATTTTTTTGGCTTATAATTTTAAAAACAATAGTATATATAAAAAAAATAACTACATAAAAACATTTTCTTAATATTTTAAGATATATTTAATCAGAAACAATGAATTATTTATAAGGGAAATATTTGTAGAAACTAGTTCACAATGTTGCCTGACTACTAATAAGATATTTTGTATATAATATTTATATATAAAATAACAATAACTACATAAAAACATTTTCTTAATATTTTAACATATATTTAATCAGAAACAATGAATTATTTATAAGGGAAATATTTGTAGAAACTAGTTCACGATGTTGCCTGATTACTAGTAGGGTATTTTGTCGTTGTTCTTCATTTTGAAACGAAAAACAAATTGCTGGGTTGTTCCAATATTTTTTTCCAGACTATCATTTGTGACACTTTAGTTTTAATTAAAAAAAAATTATTATAAGATTCAAGATCTTTAAAGTTGCCTTTAGAATGAATGATATAGAACCAAACCTTAATCTCGTCAACTAAATTCAAGTTGATAAAAATAAACAAACTTTCTTCAGTAATCAAATCTTTTAAATGAGTGTTTTAAGGACAACAACTGTTGACTTTTCTAAATTTATAAGTTCTATTTTAGACATTTTATCCTGAAGTAAAGTTTCTGACTAATCAAGTTTGCAAATTAAGTTAAAGCTTTGTGCACATATTTAATGTACAGTATTTTAACAAAGAAATAGCATATTTGATACTTAGAAACTTTTGTAGTAAGTTATGATAAAAACATTTTCATTGTTGATAATGATAATTGCGAATTCCTCTAAACTATACATTCTTCCAAAAAAAGCGATTTGAAAGATATACTCTTTAAAATTTGTGAAACCTCTATTGCTCAAGGATCATTTCTAGACTCTTTAAAAGTCGCAAAAATTATCCCTATTTGTAATTCAGGTGAACATTACAATTTATTTTTCTATTTTAATTCTTCCAGTTTTCTCTAAAATACGAAAGAATAATGTATAACAGAGTCTACAATTATTTTGCTGATACTAAACTTTTATATAACAATCAATTTGGTTTCCAGAGAAACAATTCTACTGAACACACGGCTCTCCAACAAACACTTAGCATTTCTGATTGTTTTAAAAGTTCTCTCAGGAGTATTCATCGATTTGTCTAAAGCTTTTGATACTGTCAATCACCACATTCTATTAAAAAAATTAGATCTCTTTGAAATTAAAAATAAATCCCTAAGCTGGTTCAAAAGCTATCTTAATAATCGTAAGCAGTTTGTTAATATTTAAGACTCTTTTTTGCCTTTATTAATGAATGTAACATGAGATGTCCCACAGGGATACATACTTGGGACCCTATTATTTTTAATATATATAAATGATCTTAACAAAGCCTCTAACTTAACCACTATAACTTTTGCTGATGACACAAACCTATTCCAATCTCACGAAAACATAAATACACTTTTTGATAATATGACACAAGAATTAAATAAAATCTCATATTGACTTAAGAAAACTAAATTGTCCCTCAGTATTGATAAAACAAAATGGACTTTTTTTTATATCCAGAAAAAAGTATTTATTAAATACGATGCCCGACCTCTTCATTGATAATACAATACTAAAAAAGGGAAAAAGTTACAAAACTTTTCTGAGTTCTTGTAGATGAAAACTTATCCTGGAAACAACAAATCGATAATAAAAGAAAGTTGCTAAAAGTATTGGAATTATATATAAAGTTCGACAAAAGTTAAATAAACAACAATTAAAATAACTATATTATTCGTTTAGTCACTGCCATTTAAATTATGCTAATATTGTATGGGGAAACGCGCACAAAACTACCCAGCGGGCAAAAGTTACGTTCTAAATGTATTTTAAATTTCTTTTAAACGTCTTTTTAATATACTTACGTAAAAAACGTTTAAAACACATTTAAAAAACGTTAAAAAGATATTTAGAACGTAACTTTGAAAATCAAATGCCCGTAGGGTAAACTTAAATCTCTTTATCAGCATCAGAAACACGCAGCTCGCTTAATTAGTTTTGTAAATCGCTTTTCAAATTCAAAACTACTTCTGAGAGAAATAAAAGCTTTAAATGTATACGAACTAAATGTTTATAATATTAAACTAAATGTTTATAATATTTTATGTTTCATGTTTAAATGTAAAAATCATTTATCTCCTGATGTATTTATAAACCTTTATAATGTAAAACCCATAAACAAATACAATCTTCGCAATGGAAACAATCTACAAGAACTTTTCTGCCAAATTAAATTTGACCAACTAATTATTTCTTATCGTGGTCCGCGGTTTAGTTATAACAAAACCGTGGTCCTTATTTATGGAATAAATATCCTGATTTATGGAATAAATAAGGCCTAAAATAAAAAAATTCTTGTCGCGGTTCTTATTTATGTAATAAATAAGAACCGCGATAAGAAATAATTAGTTAAATAAACTATTATTCCATAATAAGGACCGCAGTCCTTATTATGGAATAGTAATTTATTTAACTAATTATTTCTGCCAAATTTTGATTTGTATTTGAAATGGACTTTTACTTCTTTCAAACAAAAATTAAAAGAAGTTATTTTTTCAACAGAAAATATTTTTTCTTGTTTTTAGTTCTTTTGTTTCATATATTTTATTCAGTATATTTTAATTGCACAGTTGTATATAGTTCATGTTGATTTATTTTTATTGGCTAATTTTATTTTATTGTTATTATTACCATATTTGAAATTATAAAGGGCTTCATGATAAGATCGTATGATCTTCTGGAAGTCCTGCCGATTAAATTTGTAATAAAGCTATTCTGTAATTGTAATTTTTTTTTATTGAAGGCAAATAAATTTACAAAAAAAAAAAGGAAAGCCATTCAGTATATACGCTACCACCTGCAAATAGTAAGAAAGTTTAAGCAGTTTCGTTAGAATAATGTTTTGTGTTTGCTGACTTCAACTTGTAAGGGTTTGCTGTCCAATTTAAGCAACATTTTCATGTAAAACTAATTTCATTTGCATCTTTATATGTGTGCGTATATTTTGTAGAGATTAGTATAATTGTTTTTATTTACATTTTTTTTTCTTAAATAGTAGAGATAAAACATCACCAGTGCTACTAAACACCGGCTATATTTTATTGGTGTCAAGCAGCCTTTTACTGATAAGGATTTAAAATCACTATTCCAGACATCTCTAATTGATTAATCACTAATACAGACATCTCTAATCTTTATACTTATGTCAAATAAGGTAACTTGGCAAAAATTGAGAAAAAAAATGTTGAGAAAAAATGTTGAGAAAAAATGTTGAGAGAGTTCAAACTTTACCAGATCATAGTTTTTAAACGCTAAGAGAGTATTATAAAATATATATTTTGTATAAAATTTAAAATTTGTCGATGAATATAAATTTTTTTAAATTTATATCCATCGACAAATCTAAAATATTTTATCAACTTATTGCTCTTACGTTTGAGACAAGTGTTGTTGAAATTTTGGGGCTTTTTTATTCCCAGGCTCCAATCGTAGCGATTTTTGAAAATGGATTTTTATTTGACATAAGTATAAACATATAAATATTTGGAGTTTTCTCCATGTCTAACATCAAAATATGCTGCAGCCGCCTCTGACAAATAAAAATGAAAAAAATGTATAATAACACTAATAATAACTAATACATTTACTTTAATAATATAATGAAAAAATAAAATATAAAATAATAATATTAAAATTTATCTATTTATAAATTAATAAAAATCTGATTTTAGCAAAGAACATAAATAAGCATTTTTTTTAAATTATGCTCTTTAATTATGATTAATTTCACATAAGGTAGTAACTGTCCAAGGTAAAAATAGCGTACGTTAGAAAATATTAAGTAGATCAATTGAACTGAAACATGCAAAATAGATTATAAAATAATTTCACATCAGAATAATAAAATATACTTCTTTTGTATATCTTTTGTTTTGTAAAATGTAATACAAATATAAAATCATCAACCCATGGCTAAAATGATCAAATATTTGTTTTACCATTTTATATCTTCTTAACTTTTTGAATTGTTCGATTTTTGTATGTATTTTTAAACAAGAATGTTTTTTATGTTTTTAATTTATTTATATATTGTTAATTTATTTTTAATTTGTTTTGATTTTTTATTAAAATAAATAAAAAATAAAGTAACAATATTAAATATTTTAATAATGTAACTTCATATATTTGTTATTTTTAACATATTTTTTTATTATATATTTTTTATAATATATTATTTTAATATATACTTTATTATATATTTCAAGATTTATAATTAATCATATATATATACGCGCGTGTGTGTTTTTATACATATCTTTTTATCTATCTATATATAACAACAACGTTAATGACAATAATAATAACAGTAAAAACAACAACAATAATAAAAATAACAATAATAATAATGATAATAATAATAATAGTAATAATAACAATAATAATAATAATTTAGAAATACATAACATGCGATAATTAAAATGGAATTTCAGGAAAAATATGAGATAAATGGTTTTATTCAGAAAGGACAGTTTGGTAGTTATTATGTATGTATTAACAAGAAAACAGGCTCTAGACTAACAGTGAAAATGAAGTCTGTAAGTCACTACAAAAATGATGGTTCAAGTAATGCTTATGTTGATCTTGAAGAATCGCGTGAAATTGCAATATGGCGTAGACTAAAACATCGCAATGTCTTAGAACTTCTTGATATTATAAAAACTCCAACTAGACATTACCTTGTGATGGAATGTATACTGGAGCGTAACCTTTTAGATGAAATAGAAAAATCTACTACATACACTGAGCGGGATGTTTGTTTTTATATTAGACAAGTATTGAGTGCGTTATTATATTTTCGTAAAAAAAGAATCATTCACCGTAATATTAACGCAGAAAGTATTTTCCTTCAACGAAGTAACATCAATGAAATAATTAAAATTGCTGATTTTGGACTCGCAGTTCGGTTAAGTAAAGGTCAAAATTACGTCTCGGTTGAAGCGTGTGGTTTGCCTTTATTCTTGGCACCCGAAACTATTTTAGATAGACCTATTAGTTATGGAGTTGACCTTTGGTCAGTAGGAGTTCTTTTTTATATTATGCTCATCGGAAATCCTCCATTTTGGAATGAATTTCTAAAGTGCTTATATTTTGATATTACAACAAAAAAAATGAATACATCACATTCGAATTGGCATAATATTTCGGATATAGCAAAGGAGTTTTTAGAAATTTTATTAGAAAAAAACAGTTTAAAAAGAATCAACGTAGAACAGGCATTAAATCATGCATGGTTTGAATCAAAGAAAAAATCAAAACTGCATCGTAGTGATGTTATTGAAAACTTGAAATGTTTTAATGCGAAAAAAAAACTTGATAACGAAATTTTTAAATTTCAAAGAATTCCGAGTCTAAGTACAAGTTCATCTCAGAACTATCACAATCAAAATGAAGATTATGAAAATGAACGCATTTATAGACAAAAGACTGTAATAAGCGAAGTGAATTATGTCAAGTTAGACAATTTGCGACAAATATCAAACATAAGCGTTTCTTTTCATCCGATAACACTTCGAATAGATTTAAATGAACCAGATTTGTAAGCCACAGTTTTTAATCACAAAAATTTCACTACTAATACAATCAAGTTTAAAAAAAAAAAAAACATTCTTGAAAAAAAATACCCAAGTAATCTTAAGCTCAAAGTTAGTTTACTGATCAGAGACTTTAACGCTCGAAACTGAAAAGAGTAAAATGCAGTACATATTAGTTATAAATCAATTTAAACATCGCTTTACGCAATTTGTTTCTGCATGTCTTTGCATTATATATAAAAAAAGAAAAAGTTTATCCGCTGTTGAGTGTAACGAAGGAAAAAGAAAAAGTTTATCCGCTGTTGAGTGTAACGAAGGAAAATATAAAAGTTCATCCGCTGTTGAGTGTAACGAAGGAAAATATAATCTTGAGAATAAAATTTGAAATTCAAGTAGTAAATTTTCAAATAATTCTGAGAAAAATTTCTATATAATAGAAATTTATAATAAACTAAACATGGTTTAAAATATTTGTACGACTATAGTGGTACAAATATTTTAAACCACGTATGAAGTATGATATTGCTCTATGGAAGAAATAAATTTAGTCAAAATTTTTTTTACTACAATTGTTATAAAAAGTATAAAACACTTGAAATAATTTCTATTATTTCTTGCACAAGTTGTAAATCTTTTTTAAAAGCAGTCTTTTTAACATGATAAAAAGTAATAATTTGTTGCTTAAAACAAGTTTTTGTGTTCTTCTTGTCATTTAATAGTTGCGTATATATTTAGAATTATCTGATTTTTATTTATTGAAAAAAGTGGCGTCAATTGTAGAAATTTATTAACAAAAAAATTTATTTCTGATATATCGGGTCTCCGACTGAAAAAACTTTTTTTTTATCTTCAAATTATGTCTTCAAATTTAAGAAAATCTTTAGATTTAATTCATTCGATTGAATAAACCTTTGACATTATCTAAAAATGGTGAGAAGTTAGAATGAACCTTTGACCTTATTTAAAAAAAGGTGAGAAGAAGTTTAAATAAACCTTCGACATTCTCTAAAAAAGGGTGAGAAGTTTGGTTTTGGGCCTTCATAATTTCCAAGATTATTTGGACGACATTTAACAAAATGGAACCAACCGACAATCATGAAATTTTATCAGTATTGAATTCACAAGTTTTTATCAAAAAGGAACAAACTGCAATACCCACTGGTTATGTGTTTTCATACAATTTTAAAATGTTAATTTTAAAAATTGATTTTCCTAAATTTTGATATTCTATGATCAATATTTGAACGATTAAGTGAAGCAAAAGAAGAACTTTTAGTACCAATATAAATAACTAAGTTAATTTTATATTGGTACTAAAAGTTCTTTTAAATAACTAAGTTAATTTTATATTGGTACTAAAACTAGTTTTGTTAGTTAGTAACTGACTGTAATCGTGCAGTTTGCAACTTGTTTTTTTTCCATCGAACAAGAACTCGTTTTTGTCAACTATATACAAATTGGGTTGGTTTATATAATATAGACTTTTATAAGCTTTTTAAGCCAGAGAGGGTAGAGCTAAAAAAAAAAAAGTTGGGGAGTTTTTCTATTAAACATAAAACCATATTTGTTAAGAGAAAGCGCTTTCACAACCTCGCTACCGAATGCAGAGTCCGCATGTAGAGGAAGTGCGGATCAAGTCGCGCTACCGCCCAACTCTATTTTTAAAAAAATACCGATTATTTATGATAGCATCAAAACAATTGAATCATTTTTAGTAATTAAAGTACAAACATTTCAATACTACTAATGACATCTATACTACCTATATATCAATGCCATAATAAAAATAATTATGCTATCAAATTCTATCAATGCAGATAGCAAAGCTTTTACAGTTTTTTCGAGTGAACGTTACAAACAGTTTTTATTATTTTAAAAGATAAATTAAAAAAAAAAAACGAAAAAGACACAAGGTGCAGACAAAATCGCATACTGAATTTTAAGAAAAAAAGATTTCATTTTAATTAGATCATAATTTAAGATTTTTCTAAAAATAAAACAAACGGCTAACATTAGATTTAAAAGAAGAGGATTAAAGAATATTTATTCTATTTATAAATATTATTTATATAACAATTTTTATTTTAATTTATTTTGACTTAGTATTAGATGTTATGCTTTTATATTCTAAATTTGAAAATTAATCTAATCTATAGCTAAGAAATGCATAAAATCAGCTTTGTTCTGAATAGGTGTCCTTGTAGGTCGGCCTAAATCTTTTCTACTACCTTTTTTAACTTTAATTTCTAGAAGAACAGGTCCTTGCATTGATCGCATCGCTAATACCGATTCTCGAATTTCTTCGGGCGTAGATACTGAAGTTGCCTGCAAAACATTAAATCATTGTAAATTCAAAAAAGTATAAAATAAATGGAGTACATAGAAAAATATAAATTTTATATGCATAACTTTATAAATTTATAAATTAAAAATATTCTTATTTAAAAAAATAGCAAAAGTAAAAAAAATAGCAAAAGCAAAAAAAATCTAAAGAATACGGAATTTTTAAAACTAAATATTTTCAATAAAATTTATATTCTTTTAGTCTTAATTTTAAAAGTTCGTTTGCTTTTATGTTCTTATAAATAACATTCCCACCTATCATATCTTTGTTATTCCAAACAATGCTTAACCTGTCGTACAGTTCGTAAACCTTTAGCCGCACTTGTATACGTGTTTGCAACACTATACCATAGTGTTCCATACACGTATACTTTTTTTTTACAAAAAAAAGCACTACAAAATAACAACAAAATCCTTAAAGAACTATGTTTACTCAAAGTTGATTTCATGTGAGTAATTTGATCTTTATTTGAAATGAGATTATGCTTATACACTGCGCGACATAATGATAAGACACCCCAAAAATATATGTATGTATGTATATATATGTATATACATACATACATATACATACATATACATATATATACATGAATATATATATATATATATATATATATATATATATATATATATATATATATATATATATATATATATATATATATATATATATATATATATACATATATATAATCGACAAAAAAAACTTTAAAATATTTAATATATATATATATATATATATATATATATATATATATATATATATATATATATATATATATATATATATATATATATATATATATATATATATATATATAATAAAAGCGTTTTGTTTTATATTGCAACAAAGCTTTTTTGTTGATTTATTCAACTTTTATGAAAAAAGACTTTTTTATCAGTTTTTTTAAAAATTATTTTATCTAGTACTTATTCAAAGCATTATTTTCGCTGTTTTTATTTAAATTATTATATTTTCGCTATTTTTATTTAAATATATATATATATATATATATATATATATATATATATATATATATATATATATATATATATATATATATATGTATATATATATATATATATATATATATAAATATATAAATATATATATATAAATATATAAATATATATATATATATATATATATATATATATATATATATATATATATATATATATATATATATATATATATATATATATATATATATATAATTAAGGCCAAAAAATTAAGGCAGGCTATTTTTTTAAATCAATGATTATTTCTGGTGTTATTACCTTGGATACAAATAATTTTATTATTATATTTTGATTTTTGAAGATAGTTTAATTTATTTTACACCGGCAGGATGCCATAGAAGTGATATTATGTGTAAAAATAATAACTTTGTTTAAAGTAAAATAAATTTTCGGAGGGTTATTCTCAAAGTACTATAGCAAAACAACTAAAAATATCGAGATGCGCAGTGCAAAATGCTTTACGTGTGCAAGATTCATCAAAAATTGTGGTAGAAAACGTGCGAGTACATTACGAGAAGACCGTTTTTTAAAGAATGTTTTTAATAGTGAGCCTCACACAACATCTGCAAGGTTATCACAACTTGCTATGGAAAGGGGACTTACTATTAGTGCGAGAACAATTAGAAGAAGGTTGTGTTATGACTTTGGTCTAGTTGCAAGAAGACCAGCTAAAAAACCTTTATTAACTCCAGCTCAATTACAAGCTAGGATTAAATTTTGTAAGAGTTTAAAAGACAAGACACCAGAATTGTGGGAACGTGTAATGTTTACAGACAAAAGTACGTTTCAACAAATTAAAGGCACAGGCTATAATTATGTTAGAAGACCTGTTGGAGAATGCCTGAATCAAAAGTATACCATAAAAACAGTAAAATATCATCCTTCAGTCATGGTATGGGGAGCAATCACAGCGCAAGGCCAATACGGATTGCACATCTTTAAAAAAGGTGAAAAAGTCAATGCACAAAAGTATCTAAGTGTATTGAAAGACAAAGTGAAACTGCACATGGAAATTACTAAAACCAGCATTTTCCAGCAAGATTCAGCATCTTTGTCATACAGCTAAAACAGTTAAGAAGTGGTTTACTGATAATAAAATTGAATTATCTAATTGGCCTTTTTACCTAATCTTAATGTTATCGAAAACTGCTGGAATATAATGAAGTAAAAAGTTGCAGCACATTAGCCAAAATCTAAAGAACATCTTCAAAAAGCTCTTAAAAAAGTGTTGACTAATGAAATCACTCCAGAATTTTGTAATACATTATTACATAGTATGCCAAGAAGAATACAAGCCGTGCTTGATAATAAGGGACATCTGACAAAGTATTGAACTATAACATTTAAGTCATTTAAACTATATTTTTGCTATAATTTGGTCCTATAACTATTATTTTATTGAATATTAACTCTTTTGCACTGAAAAGGGTCGTTAATGACCCTGTAGTAATAAATCAATAATTAAATGTTTTTTTTTGGCAAAGCCATTAATCAAAACTACTTGATTTTATGCTGTAAAGGCTCAGCTTCAAAATTAGCCATAATAAACTAACTTTTAAAGCCCTGTAATAGAAAAAAGGTGTCCATAAATTATGTCACACTTTAGGAGGGGGGGGGGCAGGTAAGGAGCGAGGATGTTAGTAGTTTATTGACAACTCATACGTAACTCGTTACTAAAGTGTTACGATGCTGTGACGATTTTTGTAAAAAAAAATAAAAAAATTTGCATAAGTGATCTTTGTATCTGCCATCATTGGTATTTCTTGGTATTTCTTTTTTTTTTAAAAAAAGACACAATCTCTATTTATTTTTTTGAAAATATATAGGTATGGGGTGTAAATATAATGCCTTTTATCCCATATATATCATTTTCAGTATAGTATTTTTATTTTTACTGTTTACAAATATAAATTTAGGTGCAAAAGAGTTAAGTTATTTCTGATTTTAATCTATTTTTTTCATTTATTTTACATTTTGTACTGCATTTGTTCACTAAATATTTTACACTGCAAAATTCGAGTTACTTTTTATGACCTGCCCTAATTTTTTGGCCACTACTGTATATGCATATATATATGTGTGTATATATATATATATATATATATATATATATATATATATATATATACATATATATATATATATATATATATATATATGTGTATATATATATATATGTATATGTGTATATATATATATATGTATATGTGTATATATATATATATATATATATATATATATATATATATATATATATATATATATATATATATATATATATGTATACACATACAAACACACACTAGATGCCTAACTTGTCGGATTTTATTGGACAAAAAGTGTATCCACCATTTGTAAAAAGGGCAAAATATTATAGTTAATATTGTGGAAGCCATTTCTAATTAGAGCTAAATAAAGTGGCTCCATTTTTTGAATCGAAGTTAGACATCTAGTATATATTATATATTGTTGTATCCTATCAAATTGGAATTTATGCATACTTAGTGACTTATTATTAAATATTTGATTAAACACATTTATTGTAGTGAAAAAATGTATAAAAATCAAAAAAAAAAAAAAAAAAAAAAGAATTTTTAAATTAGAAATCCATCATTTTTAACTGAATAGTTTTAATTTCTCAATTAAAAGTGCTTATGTATTTTTTATTCCTTGGTAAAGAATGATACAAAATGCATCAATAAATAGCTAAAACAAATTTCTCACTTTTTAATTATCTTAATTGTTTTTGTTTTTGTTTTTTAAATCAATATTGTAAAACAAAAGAATAAAAAAAATTATTTTAAACTGTTTTAGGAACTAAATTGTTATCTGTATTGTTTTTTATTTTGATTAATTATAAAATTTTGTATATTACTAGTTTGTATAGTTTTACACAATTATATGGTTAAAGTTATTTAAGATTTACGAGCTGTATGATAGATTGAGCATATCCAAGTTGAAAGTCTTATAGAATCCTATAGAGATCCTATAGGACTAATAGAATTTTGCTCTAGGATTCCTATAAGCATCCTATAAGGTTCTATAAGAAATAGAGGATAAAGTACTATAGCAATCCAATAGCAAACTTAAATGTATCCTATAGGTTTTATAGGATTCTTATAGAAACATTAGAATTATTAGACTTTACTAAAAAAAGTTAGGATCCTATGGGAACTCTATAGATCATATCAAATATGCAGTAGGACAATAAAATTGCTATGGCATTAATAATGTAAACCCATAAGATTTATAGGATTCCTATAAGATCTATAGGAGTCCTATAGGAATAAACTAATATTAGATAAAAAGTTACTTAATGATATATGTTCCATTAGATCCTAAAGTATTTTTATAAGTTATATACAATTTTTTTTAATACTATAGTATAAAGATAGGATTTCTATAAGACAGATGATTATCTAGTTTACTAGATTTGCTGGGCATCTATATAAATTAAAAACAGCTTTAGTCAAAAAGTCCTATTGAAAAAAAAAAAATTAAAAGTATATATACATTCCTATATAAAACTGAAATATCCTGTAGGACAAAAATACTGCAATATTAAGTCCTATTGGACTATTGGGCATAGAGTTTTTTTTTTTTTGTAGAATTATAAGATTCTGATTTTATTAGTATAACAATAATATGGTTCCTCCTGTTAAGATTCCAATAGAATTTTATCAATAGTTCTAATATATTATCCTGTATATACAAGATTCCAATAGGATTTTAGTTCTAATATATTATTTATGGCATTTGGAACATTATATTGAATTTTCATAGGTCATATAGACTGTTATCAAAAATAATTTGGAACATTAAATTATATTGGATTTTCATAGGTCATATGGAATGTTATCAAAAATAATTTTTAAAATTGATTTTTATAAAAAGCATAGAAATAGCTCCATCATATACACACTCTATAAATATTTGATTCTGAAGAAACTTTTTGA